ATTATTTATTATTTATATTGGACCACCATCAGTCACTGCCAACCCTTCCCATTCACAAGTACATTGAAGCTGTCACAGGTCGGCTCCGTAGGGATTCCCCCCCTTTCTTCCCACTTCGTTCCTCCAGTGCTGGCTGGAGGAGCGGGCAGGGGAGGGGCTGAGCCTAGATGTGCAGAGCCAGCTGTCAATCAGCCGGCGGGGTGGTTCTCGACAGTATTATCTGGATCCGTCCTAGCTGTGGCGCGGCTCTGCACTCTCAGCATATAGTGGGCAGTAGCCCGCTACATGCTGAGTTTTGGGTCACCGGAGGTGTATGTCCTCTCATGAACCTAAAGAGAACCAGGCAAAAATGGTTGCCCCATAGGGGTAGCCAAACTCCGGCCCTCCAGCTGTGGTGGAACTACACATTCCATGAGGCATTGCAAGATTCTCAGAGCCACAGACATGACTCCCGGAGACAGATGCATCAGGGGATTTGTAGTTTCACCACAGCTGGGGGCCAGAGTTTGGCTACCCCTGCTAAGTGCTGCAATGAAAATTAAAGGGTCTGCTGAAATTAACATTCCACCCCCTAAATCTTATTATTAGCCTAAAAATGTCAAAGTAAAAGTTTAATTTAAAAAAAAAAACTTGCCATGAGGCGTCGCTTCTGGGGGGGTAACGGGAGGACACAAACTAGCGTCCTCCCGTCACCCTAAGCTCAGTGTACCGCGAGCTACAGCTCGCGGTATACTGAGACGCCACAGCTGAAGCGGATCCCGACAATTGTGCCGGGATCCGCCCAGCTGCGTGACTGACAGCTGGCTCTGCCTATCTAGAGGCAGAGCCAGCTGTACCCTCCCCTCCCCCGTCCGTTCCGCCAGTCAGCGCTGGCGGATCGGAGGGGGGAATCCAGCCCCTCCCCTGCCATGGCAGAGAGCTGTGACAGGATCGAGAGGTGAGCGAACGCCGGTATGTGTTCGCTCACCTCCCGATCTACTGAGCCGACCTGTGACAGTCTCTTTGTCACAGGTCGGCTAGAACTATGAGGTGAGTGGAAATCGCTCACCTCTTAGTTCTCCTTTTAAAAAGTCGATTCCTAGACCTGGCTGTATTGCTAAATTACAAAGAGACCTTAGGGTGCAGGACCTGTCTGTAGTGTCGGATGTGGAGCGCCTGAGTCATAAAACTACTTGAACAAGACGGCGGGTCTTCTGCATTGGAAAACATTTTTTACATATTTGTAATTCAACTGAATTTAATTTTAAACATCAAAATGTCTAAAAAAAATAAACACTTGGTGATGAGGAAGCATGGAGCCGGCTTCCCAGCCAATTTGGGAAGCCGGGCAGCATATAATGATACGCCACCCGCCTTCTGATTGCTCGGGAAGCTGGCCAATCAGAAAGTGAAGTGACGAGTCATTACTAGCCCCCCGGCTTCTTGATTGGCCAGAAAGCCGGCTCCATGCTTCCTCGTCACATGGAGCCGGCTAACCAGGAAGTCGGGTGGCAAGTCTTTGCATATCGTCGGCTTCCTTAATGGGACTTCTCGTATCGGTATTGGCGAGTGCCGGAAAAAAAATGTGT